TACTAATATAGATTATAGATAGATAGATTTGTTATTCCTTTTACAATTTAAAATATAAATGCATATGTAATTATGTGCTCCCCAATTTCACGTTCATGCATCCTATGGAGTGTGGAGTGTACTTGAAGAAAAAGAATGAGAAAGAAAAGGGGAGAAAATAATCGTCCTTGTAAAATTACATTTTTACCTTCTCAACGATATCCTAGAAAAGAGGAGATGTCCTCCTTTCCTACAATATTTGCCCTACCTCTGTTCCTCTAAAATCTCTCCACCCCTACCTATCTTTTTTATAGTATAACTAGATGAGGTTCATTTACCAATATTGTATAGATGAGACATTTAATAACTATGTTGTAATTCCTAGATAAACTTAGGTATGGTTGTAGTAATACAAACTAATTCTTTGCTCGGTAACAAGAAGGATCAGTAAAATTCAAATTGCATTGAAGGTGAAAAGTAAGATAACCTTTTAAAGAAATCATTTATTGGTGGACCAACTTTTCAAATTGAATCAAACAAATACAAATTTTAACAACATTTCAAATTATGTTTGGCAATCATATGCTTGTGTGGTTTTCGCTCCGAAACGTTTCCTTTTCAGTTATTTGTTCCCCACTTTCTTGAGTGATAGGTCCGGAACGTGAAGTTCTTGGTGATAGCCTTTTCTTTTACGGTTGCAAAGGATACCGGATCAAATTTTCTTTTACATATTTTCTTTTGTCTTTACTGGTTTGCTTTGCAAGGTTTATACCAATGAATTTCCTTCTGATGTTGTTGGATGGCCAGTCCATCGTATATCATCACGAACAACCATGACTTTTCGTATTAAAGAAATGGGGCAGGAGGCTCCATTAAGTGATTGTCCAATTATTATAACAAAGTTACTTACTGCTGTAGTTAAATCTTTGAGTTTGTGCGAAGTGTTCGTGGCAAGAGACTTTAAACTATGACCAATAATTAATGCAATAATTTCCATGGAAACATGATGATCATCAATATATGTTTTTTTACTCAGCTTCTTATTAATGATACTTTTGGCACTCATCATGTTCATGCTATTTTTAGTCCTACAGTTTTTTTAATTTTAATCCTGGTCTTCCCCCGACAAAAGCAGGGAGAAGGGATTAGGTCATTATGATTTGCTTTTGATATCTCAGTTTCCTTTCGCAGGAGGACCGATTAAGTGTTGATGATGCTCTTTGTCATCCTTACTTTCGGCAGAATTCTCAACCCCGCTAGGCGTTGAGAAGCAGAGTTAAATCAGCATTTCGTCTTTAATGCTGATTGAGGGCTTCAAGGTCTGTGCTTTGCGCCTATCTATCACAGTATTGGACATTATTCATGATCTTTCTTGTTCAAATTTGTTCTTAGTTTCATAGCAGTTCAATGCCAAGAGCATGTATATTCAATCTCGCTTTGTATATAAGGTGGTCTACAAACGAAAAAAAAAGATAAACGTACCCTAATTGTAGCAATAACGATAAATGAAGTGTAGTTACGGTGTAGATTCAACTACATTAAGCGAAACAGCCGTTAGTAAGTGATTGCTTCTCTTCTCATCCTTTGTTAAGGGGTGTACCTCGCATCTGTTGTAGGTTCTCTTTGTTGTTCCCTTACATTATGTAAATATCCCTGTGGCTCATATGTACCCTCTTATTTGCAATTCTCAATCAATGAACGGAAAAAAAAAATTGAGAGCGATTTTCTGGATAACAAGGCAAGGCGTTGTTTGGTTCATTGCGTCTGTAATTGTAATGTAAGTGTTAGTTGTACAATTGTAATTGACAGTTTTTGCGACGACTACCGTCGCGTGCAGCTGTAGTCGTTCTAATTTTGCGCGTGTTCAATCTTAAAAATATTTAATTTTTAGTTACGCTTGCGTTCACATCTCTTTCGGATTCCTCAAATGGGTACTACGCAATTAGAGTTTCAACATGAAGCCCATCTGCTTTTCAAAAATATGGCAGCTGTGTTATATAAGTCCGCATCTATTAGCTCCACTATCCCAAACTGTGCAATGAAGCTGCAATCACTACAACTACGCTGGGGCTAATCAAGCAACTCCTGACCTCGACTGCTCTCTTATGAGTCGCTACCCGCTCCCTGTACGTGGTGGTCTGATTTTTGCGCCAGCATCTCCTTTATATCGAACAGTAGTACACCTGCCCACCCCTCCCCCTTTACCGCAACCGCCCCCCGCCCTAAATTTTTTTTAAAAAAAAAAAAGAAGAAGAAGAAGAAAAAGTGATAGGGTGAGATGGCGAGATGGTTTGCTTAACATGAGATGACCATTCTATACTGTTAGATTCAAAATAATGGTTAGATATAAACTAATAGGTTAATTAATTAAAGATAGGTGACCCTGTATTTATTTGACTTCCCTACCAAATCTTCTCTAAGATTTTCCATATCCTTCTTTCGGCCGCCTCTCTTTCTTATTTGGATGTGACCATACCTTCGTAATAACTCAAATAAGAGGGGTCATAAACCCTTACCTCTTTTGGTGGTCCTCGTTGTCTCGCCATCCAAACTTTAAGAGTCTACTGACGTTACTTGCTCATTAAGTCTCGAAAGCAAATTTCAACCTGAGGAAACCTACATCTGATATAAATCAACTTTAAACTTAACTTAAGGGTACCTAGACCCTTTTATTAAATTAAAGTAACACCAAAAGAGAAAAAAAAAGAACCTCTACTACCTCCCGTGGTTTCTGTAGCAATACAACTCAATGAAAGTCATATATATATATACTTTCCATTCAATTCAAATTTGAGAGAACATGAACCCTCACTTTATTTGTTGTTCACGTCACAATGACTTAAGCAGAGACAACGGTATAAAAGTTAGACAGAGGGGCACATATATACCCTCATTCTACTTAATTCCTATTTAAGGAGTCATCCTAATTCGAGGAATATAACCTCTCGTCTAATTAAACCCTAAGCCACAGTTATGAAGACATGGGTTTCACATAATATAATGACTACTACCCGTACCTTTCCTAATATAACAAAAGGTTAACATAGAATGTGGGGACCTGTATCTTTTTATTATGTATTCAGGAAAGGAAAACACTACAAGCACACCACCAACCACACCTTGGGGCACACCCCCTCTCTCAGCTACAGTGCATGCAGGAAAACTAATATGAGGGTACTTGCAACCTCGCTCTCTTTAGAATATGAGACAGATATCACATGCCTATAATACTAGACTGCGAGCATCCCTGTTATCATCCCGCATCTTACATCATCATGACTTAATTCGAGAAAGCATACATTCACTTTCAATAACAACATACATGAATCTATTTTTCTATGGTGTTTAAGACGTATACATAAATCATCTTGTCACTCATATTCATATCAAGTTTGTGACAAAAGATATGAAGATCAAGCTTGTAATAGATGATACAAAAATAAAGTGCTGTAGGCATGTGAGATCTGAAAAAAGGGAGAATTAATGATGATAGATGAGTTGTGTTAGGCAAGTTTTATGAGAAATTTTGATAAGGGAGTTATTTAAGTTCTCCACCAATCCAATTGCAACACATGGCGATAACTTCCCCTTATCTACCCTATAGGTAGTCTGATCCTATCTTATTGAAGGGATTAAAAAAACATAGAAAAGTATAGAGAACAATTTATAGAAAAGATAGAAAGTGCAGAAGTATACGAGAGAAGACAATGTTCTCTCCATTTTTCTTTCAAGAGAGTGGGGCTCCAGAATATATGCGTGGAGATCCAAAATCTCATCTCTTTCTTCCTAAACTATGTAGTATATTAGAAATATAATAAAATCAATCAAAACTTGTTTGCATTTTTCTTATAATGTTTGTTTAATTCTTACTTTCTATTAGTTAGGGGTTTCTTTTAATAAGAATAATTAACAGGAAATGACATAATTCCTAGAGGCATGCAGTTCATTTTTTCATAATCAAAGTGATATTATGGTGTCGGATGCATAACAAATAAATTCATGGAAAGTGGGATCCTTATGAGCCAAAGCATAGATATGTACTCATTATTGACTTACATGCAAGAAATGACCATATCTTCTAATCTGGAAGGTGAATTTTGACATATTATATATAAAAATCTCCTATCTCGAGGAGATGGAGTCAATCAATTTGGTAGATTTCTATAAGCCCATCATTATCATCCATTTTTGGCAAAATTTTTGAAATGATCAGCGTTTAGATTATATTAAGAAATAATCAGCCTTTAGGTTATTTTAAGTTAGAAATGTGATTCTTGTTTTGATTAGGAAATAAATCTAGTTTAATCTTAGATTTGACTGATTAATTTCCTCAATTAGAGGAAGTCTTTTTAAGGTAAGTTTTTATACTTTATATTTCTTTGTAATTCTAGATCTCTTAGGAGTCTAGTTTGCTTTTCTATTTAAGAAAAGATATGTAACCCTAAAAAAATACAATTTTTACCAATAAATTTCTTTTATTGGGTTTTCTTCATAGATTTGATGTTCTTCTTGGATACGAAGGTCATTCTTTATGGATTCAAAGAGCAACCCTTGGTGGATTTTGAGGTCTATTACTTCTGCATTGCGTCAATTCAATCTTGTAGAGGGTGGGGTGTTTCTCTTTCTTTAAGCCTAACTTCTTCACCATACACCGAGGGACAAGATTGCCGCTACTACCGCTATCAATGATATCATCACATATCTTTTGCATCATGGTGTATCTCGTATGAAAGATATTATGACTTTGAAGTGGTTCTTCTGTCTTTGTTGCTTCTTTAGTGCTCTTCACAAGCCTAGGGTTTTTCTTAGGGCAGGATTGGGGTTGATTAATCTCCCCATGATCATAGTTAGAGTATGAACTTGGATATCGAATTGAACTTATAATAATAGATAGGAAGGAAACAAGCTTTTAGTAATTCTTTCATCTTCACCCATGATCGGATTATTCGCTTTTACTGATGAGCTCGATCCTCACATAATGATTGCCACCAAAAAGCAACTTTACCCTTAAGTTAGTAGGCTACTCTCTAAACTTCTGTCTTCTATAATTCCTAAGTACTTGAAAAATCTCTCCACCTCATTAGTCCAATCAAGAAAATCCTCTGCACCGAGTTTCCTATCGAAAGAAGGAAAATCAACCTTCATGTTTTTAGTATCATAGATATCTCATCTTGAGTAGTCTTGATAACCATGATTTTGGCACAGGACATCACACTCATCGGTGTCGCTGTTGAATTCTTTTTGCGGATTCGTATCATGTCTTTGGTGACCATCAACGTGATCTCGAGCTTGTCCCAGGTTAAAATGCTATGTTGACAATGCAAGTCAGTCTGTATGAATCTTAGTTTGAGTTCAAGGAGTAGGGGCTTTATTGCATGCAATTAGATAGAAAACAGGGCTCTGGTACTAATTAACGTAGCACAAAAATAATACCTCAAAATCCACCAAGGCTTGCTATTTATATCCACAAAGAACGATATTCAAAATCATAAAGAACTTTGAATCTGTGAAGAAAATTTAATAAGAGAAATTTTATTGATGAAAAGTTAAATTTTCACCATCCATATCTAGAGGCTTCACAAACTTTCCCTTTAAGGCCTTCAAGGTGCCTTCTTTCACCAAAAGTGCATTGACCCTTCTTTGTTAGAGAGTGAAATTTCCCTTGCTGTTAAACTTCTCGAAGTCATACTTCATTTAACATATTGTTGTATTGGTCACCTTAACCTTCAAGCCCTTTTCTGACTCCTCTTGAAACAACCTTCTCAGTGCTCATGGATCTAGGATGAGATGAACCGATTAACATTTGCCTCTAATACTAATTGTTAGAAATTAATCAGAAATCCAACGCCTTATGTTCATATCAGTGAAATGTCAGGGACAAGCTAGAAGCTAAGTCACAGAAGTGTACATTCATTGGATACGACATTGATAAGTTCTGATATCATCTATGGAATGATAAGAATAGGAAGATCATCAGGAGTAGAGATGCCATATTTACTGAAGAGGTGATGTACAAGGACATGGACAATGCCAAGGATAACCAAAGCAGTGGGAGCAACACTAAGGATGCAGGTGGATCCGAGTACATGGATTTGGAGGAACTTCCAGATGGGGGAGACAATATCAATTCTGATTGAAGAATGAAGACGACTCTAGGTTCAGAGACGACTACCCAAGGCGAGGAGCTTAGGAGGTCATCTAGGGTACCAAAACCGAATCTCAGATATCTTTCGTCACTTGATTACTTGCTTTTGACAGATAGCGGAGAACTTGAGTGCTATGAGGAGGCTATGAAAGTTAGTAAATCTCAGCAGTGAGAGCAGGCAGTGCAAGAAGAGATGGATTCTCTCCACTCGAATGAGACATGGGAGTTAGCACAACTACCTACACAGAAAAAAGCCTTACATAATAAGTGGGTCTACCGAGTCAAGTAGGAGAGTGATGGAATCAAGATGTACAAGGCCAGATTAGTTATGAAAGGATTCCAACAACGAGAATGAGTGGATTATACGGAGATATTTTCCCCCGTCGTGAAGCTTACAACCATCAGAGTGGTGTTGAGCTTAGTAGATGTTAAAAATCTCTACCTTG